AAGAGAATTTACCAAGCCACGTGGCTAACAAGAATTATGGGCTAATTTAAGATATAAGAAAGAGCTAATAGGCCAACCAGTTTATAATTAATGTAGACCTCTGTTTCTTTGGGGCTGAACAGCTGTGGGACCGGGCAGGACATAAATCTCAGTCAACAACTATAAAAGAAAATAAATGCAATCCTAGGTTTATTTATGACCTACAATGGCTAAGTGGTAGTTGATGAACATTCTATTCACTTGCCAACCAACCACATTGTCAATAGGAAAAGGATGACACAATTTTAGGGTTGCAGAAGATCTCAACAAAGTCACTACAGTATTCCATCTCCCTTCCCTTTGGTGCCTGAATATGCAAAAGATAAAACCGACAAAATAAACATTCCATCCTTTTGATAGGCTATGATTTTACTATGAAATTAAGTTTTAACTGGGCTCTTCTCACTCTGAATTCTTTCCCTGAATTCCACAGTGATAACGACATTAATCAAATGTGCATCTCTTGAACTACTTAAGTTCTGGAATCACTAAATGATACTGGCATGAACTCTGGGACAGTCTTATGCCAGGCCACCATCGTCCTGCATTTCATGTTTTCCAATTAAATGATGGGAATTATGTCTAAACTAAGTTAAGAACCTTATAGTCAAAGGCTGCATTTCAAAGTCCAAGACAACGCTAATAGCAAGGCAAAACATACTATGTAACAAGTGGAGAAGTAAAAATAGAGGCCAATTTAGCTACAGTATTTTCCTCCCACATAGAATATTTAATTTATACACAACCAGAGAGTGCTTTTAAAACTGAAGTAATAAAAAGTTGTTTTTTAATGAGCAGCTTTATTTACTTATTTATGTGTGTATGCATACACCCAGTGGCCATGGAATCCAGAAGAGGATGTCAGATCCTTGGAGCCAGAGCTACAGGTGTCTGCACTATTTTCAGTTTGTTAGTTAGTTCCACAGTTCAAACTCCAATCCGCATGATTGCATAGCAAGGGCTCTTAAATGCTGACCCCTCTCTCGAGCCTCAACGTAGGTTTTCAATACCTTTTATAAAAATACAACTGGAAGTGATTAAAGTATCCCTAAAATATGTCCATCTCTACTTCTTCATGTCTGCTAAGCACCTATAAGGTTTTAGTCTTCCCACACAAACTCATGTTCTCCAAGGCATCATCAGCAGTGGTACAGCATCAGAAGTACCTGACCGCAGTCTCTAGGGAGTTCATCTAAAGCACTCACCCATTCTGCTAACCGAGCTTCTAGGTATTTCTCAGACTTCTTCTTTTTAGTATTTTTTTTTCTTTTACCAAAGATGTATTTGTTTGTTTGTTTAGTGTACATATGCGTCTACATGAGTTAATATGCACTACATGTATACAGGTGCCTGTGGAGGTCGAAGGGCATTGGATACACTGGAATTGGAGTTACAGGAAGTTGTGAGCTGCCTGATGTGGGTGTTAGGAATCAAATTCAGGTCCTCTACAAGACCAAGTGCTCTTAGTCACCTCACCAGCCCCATCTCAGCCAGCTTCTATGCGGCTTGAAGATGGGTGTCTACTAAAGGCAGTACAGAACATAAGAGAACCTGACAGCTGAAAACCACTAACAGCACAAGCAAATGAGTCATGGTCCATTACTACTTTGAAATTTCTTCCATTAGCTGGGCAGGGTGGCTCATGCCTTTAATCCCATCTCTCTGGAGGCAGAAGCAGGTGGATCTCTCTGAGTTCAAGGCCAGCCTGACTATACAGCAAGTGCTGTATAACAGAAAGGCCTTATCTCAAAGAAAAGAAATTTCTTCCATTTATTTTAAGGGATGTGACAGGACTATTTTTACTGCCTTTAGTTAAATATGTAACAGGCAATCCCTGATACATGGTTCATTAACAAAAATGTTATGAATCTCTCTAAAGTTGCATCTTTCTTAACTAGATTCTGTAAAGAACATATTTTTAACAAAAATATAGAACTACCATCTATCCAATGATGAATACACCTCATTAATATCACACTATACTCTGTTGCATAATAACAGTTATTCTTAGTGGGCCATGGGTGTGTATGTGTGTATAAACACACACTCACACACATATAACCAATTACAATATGCATTAATTGAGGTCTAAATTATTTTTAAAACCTTTTGAAGACGGGAGAGATGGGTTAGCAGTTAGATTGCAATTGCTGTTCTTGAAGAAGACCCAGGTTTGGTTCCTAGTACCCATATGGTGGCTCATAACCATCTGTAAGTCCAGTTTCAGGAATTCAGGAATTCAGTGTCCTCTCCTGACTTCCAAAAGCACCAGGCATGTACATGGTGCCCAGACATACATACAGGCAAAACACTCATTTTCTTCTCAAATGTGTCATAAGGATAGCTCCATTTAACCCTTACCAAAAGAAAGGCACTGGGGAGGACAGGGAATTATTCATCAGTTATAATAGTACCTAAGATGTAGGTCCACAGGAAGGTACATAAAGAGGAGACCAATACCTTACTGAGTGGCAGCAGAACAGTATGTGACTGACTAGAAGTACAAGAAGATATCTCACCTCTTTCCATAAGCAGTGAGTTATAACAGGACTTTGAAGTAATATCTTTCTATAAACATTTTCTATTATGGTCTGGATCTTGAATGTCTCCTATATCACATGGTTATAGAGCAAGTTCCTAGACTGGGGCTATGGGAAAGTGGTAGAACCTTTAGGAGGTGTGGCCTCATGAAGGCCCCTTAGGTCATTTATGGGTGTGCTACTGAAGGAAATGTAAGGACCCAGTTGCCTTCTCCTTCTTTCCCGACGTCTCCTTTCTTTGTTGATTCTTATCCATGAAGTAAGTGGTTCTGTTCCATCACACACTGCTCCTGCCATAATATGTTGATTCACTACAGGACCAAAGCAACAGAGTCAATTGATCATGTACTGGGATCTCTGAAAGCGTATGTTTGGTTGGTTGGTTAGTTTTGGTTATTTTATTTTTTCAAGACAGGGTTTCTCTGTGTAGCCTTGGATGTCCTGAAACTTACTCTGTAGACCAGGCTGATATCAAACTCAGAGATCTGCCAGCCTCTGCCTCCTGAATGCTGGGATTAAAGGTGTGCACAAACATACCCAGTTGAATAAGTTAAAGTAACATTTTCTCTTTATAAGTTGAGCGCTTCTGATATTTTCTTACACAGAAAGCTAACTTGTACATGAACACATGGTATCAAGAAGTTTATTTTACTTTTCCCTCAACCATATTCCTTTACTCTTTCTACTAGTCCAAGAGATCATCTGTCTCCTAGTTCTTATGTAGCTCTGGCTGGCTTGGAACTCGCTATGTAGACCAAACTAGCCTGGAGCATTCTGACTTCCTCTGTCCTGAATTCTGAGATTAAAGGAATGCGCCACCACATTCAGCTTTCTTATTTTCCTTGTGACAAAATACTTAACAAAAGCAGCTTAAGGAGGAAGGAAGAGTTTATTTGGCTCATGGTTTGAGGGTAAACTCTACTAGAAGGCAGGAAAGGCAGAAGCAGTATGTGGTGGCTGTATTGTTCTCAAGAAAAAGAATGAGATAAATGCCTTTCCATTCAGTCAGGGCCCCAGCACTGAATTCATGTCTGTGAATTCAAGGCAAGCCAACAGCAATTTCCAGACCTGCCAGGACTATATAGTGAGATCTTGTCTCAAAAGAAGAAAAAAAAAAGGCGGGAGGGAGGGGAAGAAGAGTAATCCAGTCATACTTTAAAAATACTGTTTCAGCGGGGGCTGGAGAGATGGCTCAGAGGTTAAGAGAACTGGCTTCACTTCCAAAGGTCCTGAGTTCAATTCCTAGCAACCACATGGTGGCTCACAACCATCTGTAATGAAATATTCTGCCCTCTTCTGGCCTGCAGGGACATATGCAGGCAGACCACTGTATACTTAATAAATAAATAAATCTTTAAAAAAAAAAAAATACTGTTTCAGGACCAACCATCTAGCTCAGCAGTAAAGCATTTGCACGTACAAGACCGTGGGTAAATTCAATACCCCGTACTGAAATAAAAATTGTATTATTTAATATTTTCAGAATTGCCCATCACTAAATATATAATCATACCAATCGATTCCATGCATTGAGGTTAACTATTTAAATTTTTCTCTTTCCTATGTGCACTAGCTTTCTTTCTGATCAGTTCCTTATGTGTTTTCTTAGCAAAAAAAGAAAAAGGAAAAAGAAAGAAAGAAAAAGAAAACAAACTAAAGAAAAACCTTGCTGCCTATCATGTTTGCTCTACCAACTCTAAGGGGAGAAAGAAAACAAGTCACTTTATGATCACTACGCTACCCTCCCACAGCCCAGCTTGCTATCACTATGAAGATGACCAAAAACATAAACAGAAATGAAAGAGAACTAGCACGGACCATGAAACAATCCTCTAGATCAGCAGTTCTCAACCTGTGGGTCATGACCCCTTTGGGGGTCACATATCAGACTTCCTGCCTATCGGATATTTATCTAACAATTCATAACAATAGCAAAATTACAATTATGAAGTAGCAACAAAATAATTTTATGGTTGGGACCAACAACATGAGAAGCTGTATTAAAGGGTCAGAGCATGAGAAAGGCAAAGAACTATTGGTGTAGATGATTATTGCTGACTGTCAACAGGATCTGGAAAGATCCAGGAGACAAGCCTGCAGGCACACCTAGAAGGATTCATCTTGATTAGGCTCAATGGGATGGGAAGACCATTCCCTGGACGTGGGTTGTGGACACTGTGAGAAGAAGAAAGTGACTGAGCACAGCACTAGTCCTTCCTCCTCTAACTGTTCATGTGTCCAGCTGCATCAAATTCCTGCCTCCATCATTTTCTTCCCATGAGGGCCTGTACTTCAGAACTGTCGGCCAAAAGGAACCATTCTCCTTAAAGTTGATTTTGTCAAGAAATCTTGCTACAGCAGCAGGAAAGTACGACGAAAGAAGCAGAAGTATAAAAGAGCCAGTTTCTACACATTTCTTACCTATTGCAGGAATCTGACTCTGAGGAGAGAAGAATATCAGTACAACTAGAAGAATCATCTGGTCTCTCAGGCTCCGGCTGCACTGGGGAGTCCAGTTTCGACTGAGGAAAGTGGTTTGTTACTGAGAATGTATCCGAAAAGTTTACATTATCTTCTTGTCCTAACAAGAAATATAAGATTTTTTTTAAAAATTAAAGAATGTTAAAATGTTATACCCTCTATTTCTTTAACACTTAGTGTTGTTATTTCCACTTTAAAAATAGAAGTAAAAGAACACTGGTTCTAAAACTATAAAATAAATGATACGTTATTGCTACTAACTATCTTATTTGTGTTTTCCAGGATTGATTTACTTAAATGTAAAGTTTCCTTTAAAACCAGAGATAGGAATGCCTTAACATTCTAATGAAGATCCTATTAGCAGATTACTAAGGAATAATTGCTATTTCAAAATCAAAGAACAGTGACAAATTAACAAAACAGACATAAGGGAATCATACTATTTGTCACATGACATGATATCAAACATCTGGACACTTTTCAAAACCCATTAAATAAACTATTCACTATAAAGAAAGGGAAAACCAATCAGACATAAGAATCCTGCCATTTGATCTGACACATCACATTTTTGTACATCCTTTGTCATATTCTATTTTCAAAGTTTCTTTTTATAAAGATAAAGATACAGGGACACCTCATGGTAGTTTGAAGGACTATGACACACAGCATAGGCAAATATCTAAAAATAAAAGAGCAAAAAATACTAGCTGTGCCAAACTGTCTGTTGCCTAGGACTCTCTCCCTTTTACAGTGTGTGCCAACATTATGGGGATTTTCATCTGTGCTATCATGACAATTCAGAAAATGAATAAGAAAATAAATAAATAAAAGCAGTTGTTAAGGTTTTGTTAGCAAAAAAAAAAATATTGAATAGGACAAATTCTTTAAAAACAAAACCCTTCCCAAGTTCATATACTCAAGATTTTCAGAAATAACCCTCAATGTTTGTTATACAGAAAGACAACATTAATCATCAATGTAAGTTCCTAATGCTACAAGTACCAATAAACTACTGCCACTATTCATCAGGGAGAGAGGAAGGGCCTTAATCAGTGACTTTCCAGAAGGCCAAGAACTTCCTCTTATAAAGAATACACCCTAAATCAGAAGGCTACACCTTCTGGTAACTGGCTATATTATAAAAAGACAAGAGAAATACAAAGCTTTTGCTTTTGGTCTGATTGTCCTCACTCTCTCCACAAGTTCATCTACTCTTTGGTGAAGTATTCCTTAACTGGCATTAGGACCTACTTCTTCAGGATTCCAACACAGGCTGAAGACTAGTAGAACTGGTTGGACTAAACAACTACTGAATTCTTGGCCTTTACATCAGGAGACAGCCATTTTCAATTTAGCCAAACCACAGACTGTAAGCCATTCTTAAGAAATGCCCCCACCATGCATGTGTGCCTGTGTGTGTTCTATCAGTTCTGTTTCTCTAAAGAACCTAATATAGATGTGAGGAAACACACACTTAGAAGACGGTTTCCTCAACCAAGAAAACTATCCAGTACTGACAAGATGTGGAGAAATGAGAATTTGAATACACTGCCAGTGAGAACGTAAAATGATGCGGCCATTATGCAGCACAACTTGTTGGTTCTTCAGAAGGTTAACCATGGCACTACCATATGAATCAGAAATTCCACTTAGACCTTAGACATTGTCTGGTTAGCTTAACTATCAATTTGACACAGTCTAGAACCATATGAAAGAAAGCCTCAGTTGAGAAATTCCATACATTAGTTGGTCTGTGAGCTTGTCTGTGGGAGGACTGTCTTGATTGTTAATTGATGTAAAAGGACCTAGTTCAACCTAGGTAGGCAGGCCTGAACTATGTAAGAAAGCTAGCTGAGTATAAACTAGTCTGAGAGACAGGTAGCAAACAGTACTTTTCCATGGTTCCTGATGTACTTCTTTGACTGTGGAGCAAATCTCTTGGCTGGAAGTCATGTTTGGAAGAGCAAGCAGACCTGCCTTCCAGTTCCTGGCCCTGACATCCCTCAATAATAGACTGTGACCCGGGGTTCTAAGCTAAATAAACTCTTTCCTCCCCAGTTTCTTTTGGTCACAGCAACAGAAATGAAACTAGAACAGACATGTAATAAAAGAACTGAAAGCAGGGTCTTGAACAGACATCTGAGAACTAAAGAAAACTTTACAAAAACATCATACATAATAGTTAAGAAGGCAAAAATAACTCAACAAATTAATAGACGAAATGCTGCATATGCATACTAAGGAATAAAGAAATTTTAATATTTGAAACAATATTGACAGGCAATAAAAACATTATGCTTAGAAAAATAAGCCAACATAACAAGACAGATACTGTATAATTCTACTTGTATTAGATACCCAAAGCAAACAAATCCATAAGCAGACACAACAGAGATGATCAGGACTATGTGAGAGCAGGGAGTGATGTGATACACCACAGAGTTTGTACGAGGGATGCTAAAAGGGTTTAGGGTATAGATGGTTAAACAGCACTATGAAACCATTAAACAGCCATGAGCTGTGCACCTATGAATTACTAAAAATGTGCCGGGCGGTGGTAGCTCACACCTTTAATCCCAACACTCACGAGGCAGAGGCAGGTGGATCTCTGTGAGTTCGATGCCAGCCTGGTTTATAGAGCGAGTTCCAGGACTAGCTCCATAGCTACTGAGAAACTGTCTTGACAAAAACAAAAAACAAAAAATGTATACATGTTGTGTGTATTCTGTCACAATTAAGAAAAGTAGTGAAGAAATTTTTGTGCCCCTTTTCCCATTATGATTCTGTTTTGCTCATTATGATTCTGTTGCCTAAAGCTTTAGCAACAGAAATACATTAATCTCAAATCTAAAGCTGGATCAAAACTAAGTAATGCACTGAATGTGTTGGAACACCAGCTGCATTAGCTTTAAGCTCTCCATCGCAACACTTCAGCAAAGTAAACATCAGAGTTCCACAACAGAAATAATTATCTTTGTCTTAGGATCTTCAGTAATAAATCTCACACCTAGAAAATATCCTCATACTTAGACAATCACAGAGCTTGGGATGCTTCATAACTACAAACGGGGAGACTTCAGGGCTGTCTCTATGGGACAGTCTTCCATTGTTTCCAAAGCAAGCAATATGCTACCTTATAGTCAACAACTGCTACATTAAGCTTTCTAAAAAGTACTTCTCCCCATTTCAAATGCTGAGTAACCTTAGTAAATCACATTAGTTTTATAGTCTTTTTACTTTAAAAAAGAGAGGACCAACAAGATGGCTCAGTGGGTAAATGATGGAGGTGGGTCTTGTAATAATAAAGAAACTGCCTCGGCCCTCATAGGACAGAAAATTAGGTAGGCGGAGTAGACAGAAGAGAATTCTGGGAGAAAGAAGCTTAGTGAGAGAGTGCCATGATTCTCCCGCTCCAGACAGACGCAGGTTAAGATCCTCCCTGGTAAGCCAGCTTGTGGGCTACATAGAATATTAGAAATGGGTTAGAACAATATGTAAGAGCTAGCCAATAAGAAGCTGGAACTAGCCGGGCCAGGCAGTGTTTAAAAGAATACAGTTTCCGTGTAATTATTTCTGGGTATAAGCTAGCCATGCGGGCGGCGGCTGGGTGCCAGGGACGCAGCCCCTGCCGCTTCCTATTTCAACAGGTAAAGCACTTGCAAGTCAGCCTGACAACCTGAGTTTGATCACTGAAACCTACATGGACAAAACCAACTCCCACAAGTTCTCCTGTGATATTTTCACAGTGCACAAATGTATACACATGCACACATGCACATACATACACAGAAAGAATAAATAAATGTTAAAAAAAAGTAATGAAATTCATTAGGCTTTTGTTTCAGTAAGTCTTACCCATGATGGCAGATGGCAGTTCCTCTGCAGGTCCATCTCTTCTCATTATTGTAGCTTTTGACATTCTGACAGTTTTCTTGTATCCTTTTTTGGCCTGATTCACTAGAAGCTGGAACTCACTCTTATGCCTTTTACCTAAATTCAAAAGGACTGTGAATGGGTGAACCATCTACACGTGACACACTGAGAATCAGGCACAACGCTGCTCAGTGTCATCATTAGCAGAATCACCTGCACTGAATGCAGAAGCTACCATGAAGAAGACCAGAGGGCTTAGGGCAGCTGACAAATCTCTCTGTGTCTTTCTCTTCCCCAAAGCAAACAGGGTACAAGATATAATTTGCTACTCTACGTTTTTTTTTTCTTCCTCCCTAAGCCCTTAGTATGTAGAGGCTTCCCACAGAGTACAAAATACAGACTGATAACCTTTCCTCCCTCCCTCCCATCTTACTTTCTCATTTTGTTTCCGTGAGACAGGGACTCAATTTATAGACTAGACAGACCTCAAACTCATAATCCTCCTTCCTCAATTTCCCAAATGCTAGTGTTTCAGGCATGTGGCACCACACCCAGTGATTGACACTTCCAAAATAACATCCAAAAGATGGCTTTCTAATGTTCAAGATACACAAGACTACTAAGAATTAGTGGATTACATTGACTGCACAGAGGAAAGGGCTCTAGAAAAGTAGTCTTACAATAAAGAATGTTTTCCTAACATTTGTTTCCCAGCAGAATCCTTTTAACATTTTACATTCTTTAAGATACATAACACCATCTTTACTATCACTTCAAAACATAATTTCATAACCCGACATCAAGGTCCTCATTATAGAAATTAACAACACACTCCTAGAGAACCCTTGGTGTTAGAGCACAAAAATTAGGACACTTACTTGTGAGTCTGAGCCATAGTTCCGGCAACTGTAGTTGTACCGTACTTACTGGTAACCATGGTTCAAAATAATACTGTCTGTAAATGCCCTCAAATTTTAGAAAACTAATACTATAATGGTAAAGACAAAATTTTGAGAATTTTCCACACACAGCCAATAATACATACTTTTTAATACTTGGTTTCTCCTACATTTAGCACAATACAGAGCAGTAGGGAATGCACTGGAATGAAGGTCTATACAGACATGTTCAGAGCTACTTTTCTGGGATCCGAACCATTCAATCAATGGCCAAACTGCAAGTTATAGGTAACCATTTTCTATAATTTTCTGTAGGCATATAAAATTTCTTCAGCCACAGAATTGGCTGGACCGACATCCCTACCTCACTATGGAAGAAGCCAGGTTTGCTTCCATGTGTACATTCATTATCAGATTCTAACTCAAATCTGACTGCTCTAATAATTCTCTTTTGTATATCTCAAAACCATCTTCCTAATCCGCAGTTTTTTAAATTCTATTTTTATTTTTTAATATTTTAAATATTTATTCATCTTTAAGTATTAAGTGTTTACCTGGAAGTCTGTATGTTCACCACATGTGTACTCAAGGAGGTCAGAGAGGGCATAAGAGCCACTAGAACTAGAGTTATAAATTGTTTGAATTGCCATGTGGGTACTGGAAACCCAACCTAGGTCCTCTTCAAGACCAGTAATTGCTCTTAATTTCAAGTCATCTCTTCAGCCCCTAATAACTAGTTTTGAGGTCTCTAAAAACAATCTAATGAGATAAACAACTTCATCTGTTTCTGAAAAGCTATCCTTCAGCATGGTAAACAGCACAGAGTTATGAAGCATATCAAGTAAAAAAGAAGATGGATTCCTGCATTTGAACAGAGAGAGCAAGTCATTGAGGAGATTGCTTCTAATTCTAATTCTAATATATATGTGTGTATACAAACTCTCAGTGAAACTAATCAGAAGGCTGTAAAATATCGGGTAAGTTATAAAAGACTAAACTTTCAGCAAAAGAAATTACAAGATGGGCATAAAAATTACTAGAAAAAATAGTTCTTTAGAAATGGATAAAATTCTATGAAAAGTGATTTTTCAGATGAAAAAAATTAAACATTAACATGGTAAAGTATGCCTTTTATCACAACACTAGGGAGACAGAGGCAGGTGGATTTCTGAGTTTGAGGCCAGCCTAGTCTACAAAGTGCCAGGCCAGTCAGGCCTACAAAAAAGAAATTAAGAAGCTTAACAAAAGGTTATTAGAGAAAGCCATCTCTTTAGAAGCAAGTTAAGAGAGTCTACACAAAGAATACACAACAGATAATTTCTTTCACGCACTATTTTATTCCATGCATGTAAAGAGAATCACCTCATCTACTTCCCCAGCTCCCAGAATGCACAGGCAATACTACCTCATCATTCTGGAGCTGCTATTAGGCAAGGGTAGCTTAGTTAATCAAGTATAGTTTGTTCTCTTGGTTTCTTTTCCTGTGGCTGTGATAAATACTGACAAAAGCAACTTAGAGAGAAAGGGCTTGTTCCGGACAGTCCAGGTGCCAGGAGCTTGAACCAACTGGTTCCTTCTCATGCACAACGGGGAAACAAACAAATGAATAGTGCTCAGTCCCTTTGAGACATTTATGAAATCTAGGATTCATAGCGTTGAAGAGATGGTTCAGAGTTAGAAAAACAGGCTGCACTTCTAAAGGACCTGGGTTCAACTCCCACCAGTGACATGGTGGCTAGCCAGTCTGTGACTCCAGTTCCAAGCAATCAACACCCACTTCTGGCCTCTGAAGGTACACATGGTGCACAGACACAGATGCAGGCAGGATACTCATACACATAAAAATAAATCACTTTAAAAATTTAAATCTAGTGGCATTCCCAGAGGCCCGTCTCCCAAGTGACTCCAGTTTTATCAAGATGACAACAGAAACCACCACAGCCATTTTCCTAGATTTTTCTTTTGTTTTTTCTAAGCCATCAGGAAACCCAAGATTGTTACCTGAGGTTTGCTCAAAAACCCCTGAAGTAATCAAAAGGTTAAATGGCTTTACTCCTAAAGTACTAAGGCTCAGATTTATAGAGTCTTTACTTGCTCAAATCTAGTTACTCCACAGCTCACAACCATCCATAACTCCAGTTCCAGGAGGCCCAACCCTTTCTTCTGACCTATGTGGGTACCAGAGATATATGAGGTGCAGACATACATGCAGGCAAAACATGCAGACACATAAAATAACTGACCCTTAAAAAATATTAAGTGGTTTGACTAGTTATGGGAGCTGATGAATAAGTTCATGTCTACCAACTCAAAATGGCTATAGCTCATTTTCTACTCTTCATTCAAACCCCATCACAGCCTCTTTATGGACCCTCTTTGTAGACAAAAAAAATGTATGAATTTATTTGAAGAGAAATTATCTTCTTCCAAGCACCACAACTCCTTGTCTGTGTACACATGCTTATCTTCCAGTCATTATCATGAAACTGCTTGTGTTATAACTAAAGGCCAACCTCTAGCTTATACTCTCGACTTCATCACAGAAACCTCATATATAGAATCTTTTTAAAACCATTTGTCTTAGTTTGGGTTTCTATTGCTGTGAAGAGACACAATATCCACGGCAACTCTTATAAAGAAAAACATTTAATTGGGTGGCTTACAGTTGAGTCCATTATGGTGGAACATAGTGGTGAGCAGGTAGACATGGTGCTGAAGAGGTTCCTGAGAGTTCAACATCTTGCACAGGCAACAGGAAGTGGTATAAGACACTGGGAGTGACTTAAGCATATATGAGACCTCAAAGTCCACATCCACAGTGACACACTTCCTCCAACAAGGCAATACCTACTCTGTAGTAGGAGGAGCAGGCTGCGTCCCGCTACCTGGCTAGCTTAGCCCCCAAAATAATCACGTGGAAATTGTATTAATTAAATTACTGCCTAGCCATTAGCTCTAGCCTCTTATTGGCTAACTCTCACATCTTGATTAACCCATTTCTATTAAATCTGTGTATGACCACATGATTGTGGCTTACTGGCAAGAGTCTAACCTATATCCGTCTCAGGTAGGAGATTCATGGTGTCTGCCTGTCTCTGCTTTCTTCCTCGCAAAATTCTGTTCTGTCTTCCCCGCCTACCTGAGTCTGCCCTATCAAAAGGCCAAGACAGTTTCTTTATTCAACCAATGAAAGCAATACAAATACAGAAGGACCTCCTACACCACTACTCCAACAAAGACATACCTCCTAATAGTGTCACTGGCTTTGGGGGCCATTATAGTGCAAATTCTATTCGGGAAGGGGAAGA